AAAATCTTAAAAAAAAAAATAATCTTCAAGGAAGGTGAGATCACTGGCAACCTATTATGTCTGCCTCATCTCCAGGTCTAGTCTACTCTACTGGGGATGGATGGCAGTGAGCCTGCCCTTGAGACTGGCATCACTCTCCCTCCTCATTCTTCCCAGACTGTCTCATCAGGCATTTTGTTCAATAGGAAGCTTTGCTCTGCTTCTGTGGTCACATGCAAAATCCAGATAATGCTGGCAGTTGCAGTTAGTCCTGGAGGTGATACTAAGGCAAAGAGGCAATTCCTATCAGCATATCTGCCACTGCACAGGAAGAATGAGTTTCATGCCAACCATGGAAGCATAATTCCACATACCTAATTTCAATAAGGCAGGTGGGCACAATCACTTCTAATTATGCTGGTTATTGATTTTTAGCATGGGGGAAGGTAACTAAGATCACGTAAAAGCAATATTTCAATGGAAAAGTACCTATTTTTTTCCCTGAGGATCTAATCAGAGATGCCAAGGCAGAGATACCCAGAACTACACAACTGCCTACATACACACACGACACACACGCACACCCCACTACATCTTCACCAGTCTATTCAGATGCCCATATTAAGAGTCTCAGACACACACGAGCGCACACATTCAGACACTGAGGCATACATTGGCATACAGTAAAGTATTCTCTTAATAACATATTCAGGTATTATTATGTAGCCTCATTAACTCCCTCCACACACATGCAGGCACCCCACTCCAAGTCCATCCCTGACACCACTCTGGTTAGCCTTACTGTTTCAAATGCAAGACTCCCTTATTTGGACAGATAAGGTCACCTCAATCTCACAGCAGACAATCAAGAGTCTATTTATCTTGGACACAAAAACCCAGCTCCCCAATCACAAAAGCGCTACGTGTTCATGGAAAAAAAAAAAGATGCAATTTTCAGGTGCCAGTTTAGCTAACACATAGCAGCAAATGACTGAAGCCTGTTTTCCTCCCATTCCTTATTAAAATTAAATAGATGGATCAACAACTAAAGTATTTTCACTCTCAAAAGCATGCATCCATCTTATTTTAATACATAGAAATTAATGTGAATATCCAGTAAGGTCTCCAATTCACGCCTCATTGAGAAACGTATCTGCACCAAGATTACTTATAAGGACTGCATTCCCTTTTAGCAAAGGAAAAAAATACTTTGGAATTATCAGGAAGTGGGAGGAGGGGTGGAAGAACCACCAAGGGAGGTTCAGGCATAAAGCAGCAGGGGATGGGGGAGGGGGCGTTTTTCCAGTCTCAAAATCCCAGCTTTCATGGAACTCCTATGCATCTCCATGTCTGGCAGACATCACAGAGGGAAGCCAACCAGGGCTTCTTTTTGTCGCCGGCAACATCAATAAGTATTATTGTTAGCATTGTTACTGCCATCTGCATCTTGCATGGCAGGGTGCTGGTACTTACCCCAGAAGATGAGCACGAGGGAAGGCAGGGGAAACAATCTGTTGAAGGCGGGCATCTTCTTCGTCAGGGCAGCTTCCGGGGTTCGACGGAGAGATTCCCTCGGTCAAGAATTGCGCCCTCTCAGACACTTTCGAGGAAACCCTTTGGGACAAATTGCCCCAAGGGGGCGATTTTCTGATTGAAAGAAGGTCCAAGCACCGGTGACAGGAGGCTCTGTGGGATTTCTGAGCGGGGCTTGGGATTCCGCTCGAAGCTACCCTTAGAAGACCGCCTCAATTCGAGGCAGCGGATCAGCAGCTTTTGCACGCTCTCCCCGGAGCTCGCTGTTGGGATCCAGCTCAGCACCACGGACAGTACTTTCCCCGCCCACCCCGGAACTTCGAATTCCAGTTGCTCTGCTGCTTCCCTGGTTCGCACCTCAGTGAAATCTCAGCCCAGAAGTGAGCAGCATGGCTGGTTTTAGGCGGCTGGGCTGTCGGAGGGGTCCATGTTGATCCACCTCTCACTCCCTTAGCAACAGCTACGCTCCGACCAGGATCCACCAAGACTCCGGAGCTGCGGTTTCATCTGCCCTGCCCGGCTTCTCTAGCTGGACGTGCCCAAACACCCGAAGCCACTGAAGCCGTCTGAGCTACAAAATTCGTTCCACGTCGGTGTCGTCCACACCCACCCTCGGCTTCCCCGGGAGTCCTCGAAGGGCCGCCGGGAAGGAGGCAGAAGCTCCTGTTCGGCCGGCGATCTCAGAGATGGGGTGGAGGGAAATGGAGGATGGCCCCTTCCCGGGACCACGCCCCTGGATCGTGCCGGGGCCCCGACCCTGGGTGGCGGGTGACCAACTACCCTCCTCCAGGTCCCCCTTACAGTGTGTGCTCAGTCAGCCTTGACATGCGCAGGCGGCTCTCCACCCCCATCGCCACCACCGACCCATCCCCTCGTGCACACACTCCCCACCCCCAAGCAGGCGTGCCCCTCCCAGGGCAGAACCCGGCGCCAAGCGGGGGCGGAGCTCGGAGCGGCGCGTTTACCTCCAGACCCCGCGATCTCTTGGCTCGCAGGCTGTCTTCAGGTCTCTCTTTCACATCTCCTCACCTCTCCCCAGCACGGGCACCCCTTCCCACCAATTCACACCCTCCAGGCAACCCCACTCCTGCTCGTGCACAGACATGTTGGCCTGTAGCTCCGGGAAGGGGAGGGCCAAATCTCTTTCAGACAATGATGTCATATGCAGTGTACACCGTACATGGCTCCCGGCTTCTCTCCCCCGACCCTATCCCATCCCCTCCTTGTTCTCACAGTCTATCCTTTGTCTAGCCTTGATTAATTGGTTCCGGGCACACTGAACGCAGCAAGATAACCCTTGCTTAGAAGTGGCGTAGGGTGAGACACACCTGTTCTCCAGCTCACCTCACCTAGTGAGATGATCCAAATGTCAGCTCAAGAGCCATGTTGGGGGTTGAGGCAACTCCCTCTTGCTCTAATCACCTTTTATTTATTATTATTATTATTATTATTATTATTTAGTTGAAAAGCAGATAGATTGTGGTTTAGCTTCTTCCAACTATTAGCCACTCCCTTGTCTTAGCAGTTGTTTCAGCGTCCCCACCCCATCTCTGGAAGGGAAACCTGAACCTTTAAATTCAGTTATAAACGAAGATTGACTTAACAGACTAGGAATGTCTGGAATTGAAATGAAAGATTAATACAAGAACCTACCTCCCCCCCCTCTTTCTCATTCCCTCCTGCTCCCTGTCTAAAAGGGGAAGCTTAACACTGACTTTCCAAAAAAGAACGACCAAGTAACAGCTGACTGTAAGTGAACCATTGGCAGGAAATTCTCCCCGCTAAGGTATTACAGACCAACAGAATGTCTCCAAGATAAAATTTTCTTCTTGGGCAAGGAGCCCCCAGGCCATAAACTGCATGCTGTTTTGAAGACGAGCCCTTGAAACACAGTGTGTTAGACTGGGATGAGAAGTTAAAGTTGATGTGATTCAGTCTTCTTTCCGTTTTCAGTGAGGAAAGCTTACAATTTCATATGTTAGTCCCTTTTATTGTTTAAGGAAACTCTTCTCTATATTTGGTTAAATTCTCTACAGTCCTTCCTTCCCAAACTCCATTAAATGGTCCTCAATCTATTTTCCTTAAAAGAGCTATGCTTCCCCACACTTCACCCCAGACTTTTTTGTTTGGGGCTAAGCTTCATAAGTTTCTGCTGGTGTATTTCCTAGTAGTTTCCAACATTTAACCACTCTGATCACTTTCTCAGGAGGATATTTAGTTTGTCAGCATGGTTCTCAAAGTGACATCCAGAACAGGAACTGATTGTTCACTGCATGGTGTGACTAGCATAAATCCAAGGGAATTAGGGCCACACTTGCTTTGGTGGGTATGTCTATTCAAATACATTTACAACCATATCTCACTCATGAGTTTATAGTCAATTTTTAAATCCCTAAGTATTTTTCACTTGACCTATTGCAGTCATTTTTTACTTATACAGGGGATTTTTAAAAGTTATTTAAAAATCTGTACTTATTGCTATTAAAATTTATTAGTTTCAACTATCACTTTCATTGAATCTGGATTAAATCATCTAACATATTTCTCTTTAGCTTTGTTTCATCTCTAGGGTTGACAATTACGGGATCCAAACATAGATTTAAAAAAAGAGGTGAAAAAAAAAGGAACAGTTTTTAAGCATGATTTTAGAGATCACACTCTATCTTGAAGCTTGATGAAGAGCTACTAACTTGACTTCTTTAATATGGTTGCCCAATCACAAATAAATAGCCAAACATATCTCCCTATTTTGCATGTTTATAGCATGACATATTCTGAAAATTTCAAAGAGTATATGTGAGAGGAATTACTTATAATGATCCAGAGAAAAGAAGTAGGATCAAAGTTTATGTTTACATGGAAATAGATTTTCAACAATGTATTTCAGGAACAGCAGAGTGGCACATTGGTTAAGAGCTACGTGGAACACCAGAGGGCCCCGGTTTGGATCCCACATATGAGAGCCAGTGACACTGCCCTCCACAGCTAAGATGCTGAACAACAGCTCAACCTGAGCTGGACTGTTGTGAGTTGCCGGCTACGGCATAGGCTGCAGCCCCTGCTGCAGTGGGTTGCCATGGGCTACTGTGTGTAGCCAGCAGCCAGCGTGAGCGGCCATCCAGAAGCTGGCAACTGATCTGCCTCCCCTGGGAAGAGCGCAATGATGGTGCCAACTTGGGCCAGTGAAGCAACATCTTCCACAACTAGACTGAAGAACAAAAGGATAGCAACTTGTCTGTTCCCCTTCCCCCAATTCCCCAATAAAAATCTTAAAAAAAAAAATAATCTTCAAGGAAGGTGAGATCACTGGCAACCTATTATGTCTGCCTCATCTCCAGGTCTAGTCTACTCTACTGGGGATGGATGGCAGTGAGCCTGCCCTTGAGACTGGCATCACTCTCCCTCCTCATTCTTCCCAGACTGTCTCATCAGGCATTTTGTTCAATAGGAAGCTTTGCTCTGCTTCTGTGGTCACATGCAAAATCCAGATAATGCTGGCAGTTGCAGTTAGTCCTGGAGGTGATACTAAGGCAAAGAGGCAATTCCTATCAGCATATCTGCCACTGCACAGGAAGAATGAGTTTCATGCCAACCATGGAAGCATAATTCCACATACCTAATTTCAATAAGGCAGGTGGGCACAATCACTTCTAATTATGCTGGTTATTGATTTTTAGCATGGGGGAAGGTAACTAAGATCACGTAAAAGCAATATTTCAATGGAAAAGTACCTATTTTTTTCCCTGAGGATCTAATCAGAGATGCCAAGGCAGAGATACCCAGAACTACACAACTGCCTACATACACACACGACACACACGCACACCCCACTACATCTTCACCAGTCTATTCAGATGCCCATATTAAGAGTCTCAGACACACACGAGCGCACACATTCAGACACTGAGGCATACATTGGCATACAGTAAAGTATTCTCTTAATAACATATTCAGGTATTATTATGTAGCCTCATTAACTCCCTCCACACACATGCAGGCACCCCACTCCAAGTCCATCCCTGACACCACTCTGGTTAGCCTTACTGTTTCAAATGCAAGACTCCCTTATTTGGACAGATAAGGTCACCTCAATCTCACAGCAGACAATCAAGAGTCTATTTATCTTGGACACAAAAACCCAGCTCC